CTTTCTGCTTTTTGTAAGCTCACCGTTTTGCCATCCTTAGGTTTCATTTGCATATTGACTACATTGGACCCACCCTGATGTAATAAAATTTAAAACACCAACGTACTGGCGGCTTTCAATAGAACGAAGCAAGCACATCTTCGTTGCCATGTCGCACAGGCTCGACAGGCAAACACAATATCTCTTCACACGGCAGTCGTTTCTTTCCTGACGATTTTCATAGCAGCATGAGAAGAAAATACCCGTATTTTAAAGGTATTTTCTGACGGCCAGATGCCCAAGCCCATAGCTTTATCTTTGGGAGTTTCTCCTGCTGAGCGAGGGTTTGTGCAGCCGAGATGCCTTTTTGAGCAAAGAGCTCGCACTTGTAGCCTAGTGGTGGTACTGCCGTTAGGGTTGATTCACATAACAAAGGCTGAGGAGAAACCCGGCGCCGGCGTTCCGCATTCTAACGCGTTCGAAGAAGCGCTGTGGAGGCAAAGGTTTTCGGTCTACCCACTATTCCTTCCAACCACAGCTCCCCGCGCGTTTTGCCTCCTCCTCTCCCTCAGTTTCTCGGCGCATACGACCGCAAACGGAGTATGTAGGCGGAAAGAAACTGAGGGAGAGGAGGAGAGGAGTACAAGCGGGGACGTCAAAGCGGCAAGCGCTGGTTGGTAGGGTAATAGGTAGCCGCAAAGGCCAGCTGCCTCTTTCTGTACCCACTGTACGAACGGGTTCGAACGTCGAACGCCGGCGTCCGGCGTTCGAATGCGAGACACTGCTCGAGGAGCGGACGACGCTCTTGTTCGCTCTGATTGGAGGGAGACATTCGGTAGAGACAAGGGCATCTAGCCTTTTTGTCTGCCAACTAATCATTCCAGCGGAAAACAAACAGCGCAAGGACAAGGACAGAGTAGAAGGCGGTAGACACACACAGCGCTGTCTACCGCCTTCTACTCTGTCCTTGTCCTTGCGCTGTTTGTTTTCCGCTAATATGAATGACCAAATAGCCCAATCGTCAACACTACTAATCATTCCAATCAGAGCTAGGCGCTCTGATGGCCCCGCGTACTCTCGTCTCCTCCTCTCCCTCGTTTTATTTTTTTTTTCTTTTTTAGTAAAGGAAGAAAAGGCAGCACGATAGCCACAAACACGGCATTATACAGCGCTCGTCCTGTTTGCCTCTCCGTCTTCGTATTTGTCTTTATTGTGCGCTTTCACTACTTTCAACACGGCATTATACGTTTTAATTCATTATAAGTTAGGGTTGTCGGGTGCCGTCATAGTAACGTCACGATAATTCCCTCGCTTCTTATAGACCCTTTTTTCCAAGGGCACCGCCACCTTGAATTGTCGTCACTTCCAGTATGGGCGAAAACATTGTTTTGCCGTCGCCACGCCAGTAGAAGACACTTAGGATATAAGCGTAACCGCCAAACATTATCGTTTTGCCTCCCCCTTATTTTTTTACTAGTTACAGGTTGAAACGCTTTAGTATTTTTTCGTCGCCCATACGGGATACGCATATTAGGTGGCTGGGGACGAGAGTACACACAAAAGGTCTATAGCGATCAGGGATCGAACGTTCAGGAAACTATACTTCCAGGTCGCCAACGCAATGTCGCTTTTACTGGTGGAAGAAATTGAAGAAAGGTGTATACCACTAACCAGCGGTGGATGCAGATTGTGGCGGCCGGGAACAGGAGATTCCTGCGTACCTCTTCGACGAGCGTCACCGAGAACGGATACTCGAAATAAAGCGAAAGCATCGAGCTCGTTTGGTAGAGAAATCCCGTCATGCAGCCCAGCCATATGAACACCCGGACCCACACGAGTTTCGACATTCTTTCGACTTGGCGTCTACCCGATGACTGCTCGAACTGCCTGGGACACCCTCACTCTAAAAAAAGCCTGTGCGTCTGCTTTACCGCACAACACTCGGAGAGCGAATCACTGCAACTTACGGAGACAGCTCAGCGAATGACGATGCCGAAACATATGTTTAGTCCAAAAAATGCAGACTGAGTTGTGACATTAAGCAATGCAAAACGCCACGCTTGCATGGCTTAATGCCACAACTCAGACTGTGTTTTTGGTCTAAGCATATGTTTCGGCATCGTCATTGGCTGAGCTACTTCCGTAAGTTGCGGTGATTGGCTCTCCAAGTTATTGGCTTTCCAAGTGAAAGCAGACGCACGGGCTTTTTTTAAAGCCTCTGAAGTGTTTGGTATAACGACAAGCCGCCGTAACTTTGATTCGATCCCAGTTGGTTCAACGTCGATACGTTTTGAGTTCATTGAATCATGCCAAGGGCACCAGTCCTCCCCTCTGACCATGTCCTCTTCTTTCAAAACAACGATGATTTGTTTTCTACACGACATACAGTATTGGCATTATCCCCAGTCGGATGGAATGAAAAAATTATAGATCAGCCGAAACAGATGATGGTTCGTAGTTTCTCGGTCTAATGGCCTACGACTTGTTGAATTTAAGGCGGTTTGATCACATGTTCCCGAAGGAAGGCCTGTGTAGCTTCCATAACGTGAACGCAATCTTTGAGATTGATTGTGGCCGCAACGGCTCAATCCACATGTCGTGCGCTGGAACGAGGGCAAGGTGCAGTTACCTAAATCGGACGCTTGTCCATTCGAAGCTTCCCGGTCGCCTGTGTTCAGTGCCCGTGTATTTTTCGGAATTCAACGACTAAACAAAAGTTTTATGCACTGAGCGACCAAATAATAAATCTCGGCGTTCTAATCAACCCCTGTGGTGATTGATTTTATTTTCAGACAGCAAAGCTAGAGTACACTTACGTTGCATTTCCGCTGATTTCAAAACTGAAATGACTGATTTTGTGGATCGTAATATATTGATTCGCCGTTTGGTCTGCCCATAAACAATAATAAAGTAAAACGCGAACGATTGGCGTATTTATTCATCCGCAGTTGTGGCTACTGAATAATTTGCAATACGGATAGAATGTGCACAAAAGTCTTCTTCAAAGCTGATGTTTCATCGGAACTTGATCACAATATTCCCATTAAAAACCTGTCCTGTCTAAATCTAGTATATAAATGCAGATTTTTTTTTTTTTTTTTTACACGGAAACTATTCAAAGCGAAAAAAAAACTGGAAATGCAGAAGCTAAAGAAATTATTCCTGGAGAATATTGCCTCGTGCGTGGCCGAGTGAGCATCACAATATTCTGCAGGTAGAGTGGGCTGGAGCCGGACATGTGGTCATTGCCTGGTTTGATCATCGAAGGAGCATGAGCCGGTGAAACAATCAGGTCGAAAAACCGTCAGTGCAGTGATGCTGTCTCCAGAGCCACTCTGACCACGCGTTAGTGTTGCGCCAGCAGGGCGTAGGCACCAGCCGAAAAAATGAAAGAGCTCGCATAAGATCCGAGCCCATACTATTCCCACTCCATTTCGGGAAAAATGCATCAAATTCCATTCCCATTACAAGAAAAAAGATTGAGCTGCCATCTTGACCCCTCGAGCCTGGGAGTTTCGGTACTCTGGGAACATTCAGTGACTCTAGCAGTTGCCATATAAAGCAACTTTCATGTTTCAACTCATCGCTAAAGGGTGGCGCTATTGTCGTATTTAGCTCGGTCTCGGTGGACGCCAGCGGTCCAGGTTTCAAGGGGGAGTTTCCCAACTGAATGTTTTATTAACACTGGCTGAGGCGTACATACGGTCTTGCTTGACTATCAGACGATCTACAAACACCAGCAGCAAGATGGCGGCGCCCAGAGACCGTACTCGCAAACGTCTATACACCGACACGAGGCTCTGACGTCATGCCGCTCCGGTGGCGCTGCCGTCGGCGAGGCTCATGTGCAGGCGCTTTATTTCACACGAACCTGGAATCTGCGCACGCGCAACGCACACTTTTGCTGTGGGCTAAAACGGACTTGTTTGTAAAGGACGTGTTCTTCATATATGGAAGGGTGACAGTCATTTTGGGAGCAACTCAATTGTCACTATATTAGCAGCGTGACGTCGCGCAACCGCAAAGGACGTGTCGCTTCCGCGATAACGAAGAGGAAACAATTGGTGCATTAGTTATCAACGCGTTCTTTGAAGGCAGCACCTCCACCATTCCTTCGGCGTCTAACGTTAGAACGAAGCGACAAACTCGCGAAAACTGCCTGTCTCAAACCCCTTGCCTTTTTCTCAGATTGTATAAATTGCTGTTGTTGCTGTTTTTATTTTTTTTTTTTGCCTTTTATAGTGCTTCTTGATAAAGTTGCAATTGCTCAAGTAACTATAAAAAATATTCAACAAAGAAAGTTTCATGAATAGTCTAGGTTTCACGACGTTTAACGCCTCATGCATCCAGTGTCCTCCAAACTCGAGTAAAACCAAGTGAAGATGCATCTATGTACACGTCTTCATGTATATATATATATATATATATATATATATATATATATATATTCATTAAAAGCAAACAACCCATAAAATACTAAATAGAATCCGATAATGCTACAAGCTGTACATGTTCCTCGCACCAACAGTTGTTTTGCAGAACCCAGGGATCCTGAGTTCAATCCCCACCCCTGCCCGTTTTCATCTGGATGAGCATCGTACCGGGGTGCGGTCGTGTATCACTATTGCGTGGTGCAGGTTAAAGACCCCAGGCTAGTGGTTGTACTGCACTGGCTAAATTGCTCATCTACAGCTGAGACAGCAGGCGCTTGTGGGGCTGACTAACTTCCGGCTGTATAAACATACGCCCAATACAATGATGTATTAGCACCAACGGTCGCCGGGTTCAACTACCTCTGCCCAACGAACGGGAAAAGATGTGTGTAGAGCTTAAAGCAGGGCTAAAAGTTTCCAAAACCTCAAACTAAAAAAAAAAAATTAGGAAAGAGGCGTGCATGAGAGCAAAAAATGTACAAAACACAAATTGGGAATAACACGCAAGCAAGCGGCTGCTAATTCATCTAGTCTCGTGAAAGGCGCATAAACCGCCCTTCTGCGCTTCCACGTTGACACCGATCTGCAATGCACCCTTTGCCTTTTCCGCTTTTGCTGATGGTAAGCCTGTCTTTCTCTCGGCCTCTTCAGAAACTCTGCAGACTAGCAAGCAGGCGGGCGGCAAATATGGTTACTTATAGAAATGTTATTCGATGAGAGGTATAGGGATCTCTGATATTTCCCGACTGAAGCACTTTCTCGACACAGTATTCTTCATGACTGTGCATGACTGCGATGACTGTACTCCATATTTCTCTGATACTAGAATACTGGGCGGGCACAACAACAGATTTGGGAGAGAAATCATTGAATAATTTGCAATGGGGACTGCAAACAACATTTCTGCACCTTCATTATCATTTACAAAGACAGAGATCGAATTCCTAACACCAGAGATGACCAGATTACTGACACCTTGTCGTGACGCTAGAGCTTTTTAAAATTTTATATTTATAGCACATTTCCCTTTGGGAGTGTAAACAACAATATTTCTGCACCTTCATTATCATTGACAATGACAAAGGTCGAATTCTAAGTAATCGGAGATAACTAGATTTGTGATACCTCGTCGTGACGCCAGCGCTTTTTAAACTTTTATATTTACAGTAAATTCCCTTTCCTTTATAACAATTATCTCTTTTCCCTCTTTGAGAACGTTGAGACCTTTGGGGGGGGGGGGGGGGGGGGGTTTATCGTTGTGCCATTCTATTTTTTTTGCTAAATGAAAGATGTCCTGCTTCTGTCCTCGTCCTCGCTGTTTTATACTTTCAAGTTTTGTATCTATTAACCAACACGCTCGTTTTCAATTGTAAAGTATTCTTCACTCGTGAGATCTGACGTTTACAACAAATTCTTGTGTCAGGAACATGTCTGAATTTATGAAGTTGTTGAAGATGTGACTAAAACGAACTTTGCTCCAATGGGAATGTATACCGTGTCGTTGTTATCACCTCTTTTTTTTTATCTAGCAATTCTTATAACATTTCAATCCCTGCAAGCTATTTTTGCTTTTAAGTTTTCAATGTTTACAGTTTGGTGTAGGTGTGCTCCTCGGCATAGCGGCAGACACAACCCGACAGGCGATCGCTAATCAGGTGCCTCCAAAAGGTCCCTACAGGTAAGAAAAAACCACACTGTAACAAAAACAAAGAAAACAGATCAAAAATGCCACACAACAGACGCTTTTCAAAACCCCATCAAGCAACATTGGCGGTCGCCATTCCTTGGACTCGGAGCGTGTGATTGGATCCGAGTCATTGCCGACCGTTGACGAAGCTCTCGTGTCCAATAGATTCTCACAGTGCATTCCCAAGCAATGGCGAACTCGGATAGCTGGCGACGGAGTCGCTAAGAGGGCGCGCCCTTTTGAAAAAGGTGTTTTAGGTTTCCTTGAACGAATTTGACATAAAACCCCTAATAGATCTTTATTCGGATAAAGACGACACCAAGCGGTAACAGCTCGAAGGAGGGATAGGCGTGCGGAAGGAGTGATTGCGTTACCTCTCCGGCCTCCTTCGCAAGTCGCGTAGGAGGCCGGATAGGTAACACAACTCCCCTTCCAGGCGCCAAACGTAGTTCGAGATTTTGCCGCTGCGCGAGGAGGGCCTGCTTACGCGCATAACTCTTTTGTTGAAAAAAAAAATGCATATTAGTGTTGTGTATATATTTTTGTTAAAGACGTTTGGGAAACATGATGTGACACCAAGCAACCGAGTTTGTTTTCTTGTGGACCAAGTTTTGATGGTAACCTTTCTCTGCATCAGATTTTGTAACTTCACGCCCACAGCGGTATTCTTATTTATAAACCTTTACAGCCTGTAAACTGTAGTCTCCCCGAACAGTCAGACAGGGCCCGCCAAGGAACTTGCGAGTGTTTCGTATTTTTTAACTTGCAAATCGGCGGTGCTAGCAGATATGATTTATATATTTGTTCTACAGACCGTCCTCACATAGTGTAAGTGGAGTTTAAACAGGCGTGGGACGTAAAATAATACAAAACATAGGATCAAGCGCAGCAACTCATCCGGGTCGTATAAGTTCAGTTTTTATTGGCCAGAAAAAAAAGTAAAGTATAATCCAAACTAAACACACACTTGCGCTGGGCAATTTAAAAGAATCCAAGCAGTGCAAGTTCTTCTTTAAGGCCTATTACTATAGAACAGAACAAACATCATCTGTTTTACAGATATTCAATATAGCAGCTGCAATTTCATGCGGAAATTGGTTTCAGAAACGTGTTCTCAGAACCATTCGGATTGTTTTGACTAGATATAAATCGGACCGTTTGAAACGAAATAATTTGGAAACAATATTTTTTAGCAATATTAGAATTTTCCACCATTCGGGACTTTCGAAAATCTTACATTTCATCTACATTCATCTCAGTTCGTCGGCGATTCATAGTAAACTGATTAGATTTGTTTATTTTCATAGCTTTGCACAGGTACTTTTTAGCTTAGGGCAGCTAAAAAGTACCTGTGAAATGGCATATTAGAGTGTCATAACTAGGGTTTCGTGTTTTAGATATTTACTTTTCTTTGTATTGGTGCTTATTGTTTTCACTTTGAAGCGGTGTTTTTTAGTATCTAATTTTGATGCCGGGAAGAAATCGGTGTTTGTAGCGTTTGCGTTGTAAAGCGACTGTATAATTACTGGAGAAAATACCATAATTTATAAGCTATAAAGTATATTATTGTTATGAGAGTGAATTTAAAGAGGAAGAAGATCAGCGTACGAAGCAAGAGATGGACTAAAAAAGAAGAAGAAGAAGACGCGATGAACGGGGATCTCCGAACATTGGATGTTTTAGCAGTGCCTTGAACTTAACATCTGGCGTCCGGAGTGGGGTAATGGAAACTCGCAACACCGCCCAGTCTAACCAGGTCTAAAGGCGATCAGTGCGCTACAAGCATCGTTGGCCAGCTTGCAAGAAGAACAGGGCCAACACCGGGAGGAAGACAGGGAAGCTCTTGCGGAGCTCCGTCGCGAGGTTGCCGCGCAGCTCCAGCACCATCCTGGTTCTGGGTCATCACCTCTGTCTACGGAACCTGGAGGCCTACTACAAGCGCCACCGCAGTCTGGTGAGGCCACTTGAGCAGGAACATCGTCCGCACTGAGAGCGAGGCGTCATTGACCATGGAAGCACCAAGAGCTCCGGGAAATGGGGCACGAGATCAAATGCTTCCTTCGGAGGGGGCGAATGTACGGCACCAGGCACGAGCTTTAGCCTTTATTAGACAGTTTTAGTATAGCGTTGCTGGATCTTACGTACGCAATACGCAATAGTATAGCGTACGCTAAAAATGACCTGCTCGGACCGAATTTAGTTGTGCGTTACGTTTTCGAGCGAACACCGCGCATGATCTTGGTTAAATTTGTTAGAGCCGTAGAATTCCGCGTGCTTATAGCGAAACCATGCTCCTGGAAAGAAATATTGAAAAAGAAAAAGTGTCCAATCATTTTATTTCAGATTAAACCAAGCCACAGCTGCCTCTTCAAGCGCGCTTTTCTGCGGGGTACAGAGGCTACGAGTATATACGAGTGCGTAGCCAATTTCAATCATGGAGCCTCCGTCAGTCGTCCTGTGGAAACAGCACCTTTTATCAATGCTATCGCAGAATGAAATTCATGACCCTGATGTCCAGTGCATAGCGAGAACTTCAGCGATTTGTTTTAGAGTCGTTTGTCCGTCGGCGATGAACTGTGGGAATAGGCTTAGTGTTGAGCAGATCGCAGCGTCGACGCACACTGCGAGCGGCGAACATTTCCACTGTGCACTCCTTCAGCTGCAGGGCGATCTGATTCGACCGCGGTAGGCCCCCGAAAGAATCGCCAAGATGAACACCACGCAATGTCACGTAACACAGAACTTGGAAAACACCACGTCGCCCTTGCTGCGCCAGTCGAAGCAACCGCCATCTTGAAACTGGCGCTCTCGTTGGGTACGAGATATCTCGAGAGCGTTCCGCAAGGCCCGCTAGCCAGCAACGCAAAATCTCCAGCGTTGCGTGCGTACGCAATACGCCAGCCCTTCTATTGCGTTCTGCGCATGCGCACTCACGACCCGCAATCTCCTTGCGTACGCAAAGCTATAGTGTACGGTCCACTAAAACTGTCTATTATTGTGAAGCTCGACACATATGATGGGCGAAGCTCCTGGAGAGCCTTTCTTGTGGAGTTCGATCTAGTCGTTGACCTGAATGGATTGACCACCTCGTCACGAGGAGCTTTCTTGGCATCCACACTCCGAGGAGCAACTTTAGATCTGCTTCAAAATCTTCCTTCTCGCGCACAGCAAGAGTGCAAGGCCCTGGTTAAAACTCTGGGGGGACGCTTCGGCGAAAAACATCTCGGTCGACTTCAATAGGCCACACTTCGATCTCGCATTCAGAGAAAAGACGAGTCTGTCAAAACTCACCAGTTACACTGAAAGGCTTTCACGTCTCGCGTGTACGACGGCTGTACAACCAACTTCCGCACTAGACTCCGTGGCTGTGTGACACTTTCTGGACATCATTAAAAACTTTGAGGTAAAACAGTTCGTCCGCTTATTGTCATCAGCTTGCATGCGTGATGCTGTGGCACGAGCCATGAAAGTGGAAGCAGCGAGGAAAGCCGTGAGAGCCACTTGGCGGGCCACAAGGTCGGTTGCGTTCCAGCCACGCCTGTCGTTGGCGTCATCGCCAGTTCAACTTGCAAAATCGATCGGCAAGCCTCCCAAGAACCAACAGGGATAGTGCAACCACCCCAAAGACCACCTCCTGCATGCTGGCACTGTGGCCGAAGAGGTCAAGTCCAAAGGTATTGCAGCCGGCGTGATACTAGAGGGAGTGACAATTCCCCACAGGAAAACTAATTACAGCCGAGCTTGCCGGCCAAACCTCGGCTGAAAATTAAGAGAGAGAGCCGGTTCCAGCGTTTGAGATACAGACGTTACATGCACATAAAGACGGCTTTTCGTGGATGGAGAGGTACAAGGCGTCTCATGTAGAATGCTGATTGACACTGGTGCCAACGGTGTCTCCGTTAGGCAGGATGTGTCTAAAACAATAAAAAAACCATGACATCGTATATACGTCTTTCCGGGTGTTCGCTGCGCACCGTCAAGGGAAAAACGGCATTAATGATGGAGTCCTGCGAATTTAAATTTCTTTTCGGCATTCAAGCAAGTCACTTATGTTGCCAATATATTTGAGGAATGCATTCTAGAACTTGATTTTCTAAAAGCTAATGGTTGTTCGTTAGATCTCGAATACCACATGTGGAATCTAAGTGACGAATACCTTATCTTGATCAACCAGAGGGCAACTTTGGATTACAGAGGTGGATTTCTGCTATGTTCCATGTCCACCCTGGCTTCCCCACAGAGTGAGACCTTCGTCTGAACAACATACGGGAATAACTTCTCGGACGGCATTGCTGTTGCTGAAGGAGATGTCATGTGCAATACTGTTCCTGAGGTTATGATTGCAAACACACTCGTAGGTTTCAACAAGGAATATGTCCCCATCCGTGTCTCCAATATAACGGTGAAGCAATTCACTTCAGGAAGGGCTGTCGAATTACCAGGTGGTTTCGTGCAGTCAGTCTCACTCCTCCATGAAAAGATCTATCCCGCCTTGCACAAGAAGCGTTGCCAATGTCCTTGTTGGAACTAGCAGACCGCTCCAAAGATTACCTTGACCAAGCAGAACAAGCAACTCTACTCAGTTCAGTTCAGAAAATGTTTAATGCCATTAAAAAAAAGACAAAAAAAAACACCAGGGGAAGGGACTGGGGATGTGCGCCGATGACGAAAGCTAGTCGTCATCGGCGCACATCCCCATTCCCCGACCCCTGGTGTGTGTTCTTTTTTTTTTAATGGCATTAAACGTTTTCTGAACTGAACTGAGTAGAGTTGCTTGTTGTGCTTGGTCAAGGTAATCTTTGGAGCGGTCTGCTAGCTCCAACAAGGACATTGGCAACGCTTCTTGTGCAAGGCGGGATAGATCTTTTCATGGAGGAGTGAGACTGACTGCACGAAACCACCTGGCTTGCCTATTAAATACAGAGATGTGTTTGCTTCTTCTTCTTCTGAGACCGGATGGACAAGTGCTACTTGTCATCGCATTGATACGG